ATAGCAGTTTTTCTCATATCTTCCATGTAAAGACAGCGACCAGTTACATTTTTATTTAATTTACAGATACATACAAATCCCATTTCATAAATAGGTATGTACTTTAGTTATGTTTGACTATAGTTGAGTGAGGCGTTCAAATAGAACGGAACAAACGAGTGTTGATGCATTTGCACACGAGTCAGCGAACGAGACCCGCATTGAACTGCAAGCAACACTAGGGTTGCCCTTAAATTTTTATCGATATATCTATTTATATTGTTATTGTCAATTTCCGTTCTATAGTCATCAATAACAATATATATATATATATATATATATATAACATGTAACCACTGTTATAATAAATGCTACTACCTACAGTCATTGTGGGAAAATGTATACTACAATAGTAGAATAGACATTACTGGGTATTGATAAACAAACTTTGTATCCGACTGATATAAAATGACCACTTAATTCTTTAATGCACTATATTCTACTTAGGTATTGCTTCATTACATTATTACTATTACCTATATATTAGATAGTATAAAACAAAGTCACTTTCACTTTCTGTCCCTATATATGCTTAAATCTCGAAAACTACGCAACAGATTTTGAAGCTGTTTGTTCAATAGATAGAGTGATTCAAGTGGAAGGTTTATATGTATAATACATGTACACACGTGCGTAGCCGGGGTGGGTAGCTAATTAAATATATGTAATCACTGCCTATGATATTTTTTAAGTTAACAGGGTATTATTACTTGGACTAGAGATACAATCATTAGATGAAAATTCATTTAATATAGGCTTTCTTATCTATTTTACTGCAAGAACGGATACTTAAAGACAATCTACCTTTGATATAATTATATACTGTCATACTTAGACATAGACACATATAAAAGTAAGTAATCATTGAACCTCCTTTTATTGCGCTTTAAATAATTACATATTATATAATACTAAAGTATGTAACTATGCATACACTTTTTACAAGTAACAATATATCAAAATGTTTAGTTGAATTAAATTAAAATAACACACACCTTATTCTACTATCAAGTCCTAGGAATCTAAACATGATACAGTAAGTAGATACGTTTCATAAAGTCCATAGTGGCTAACCAGTCCATTAGGAAATTGTCTCTTCAGTTAGCTAAAGAGGTATTGGGATCGGTTGTTGTACTGTATCTTTCCTGATTACATTGATATATTATACAATAGTAAAAACTATTTAACTTTAGGAACTATTCTATTAACAATATCCACAACCTGTGATAATAAATTGTTATATGTTCATGTTACGCCAATTTATGACATATTTCATCATTCATACATCATCATCATCATCATCGCAGCCCGGAAGACGTCCACTGCTGGACATAGGCCTCCCCCAAAGATCTCCACGACGATCGGTCCTGCGCTGCTCGCATCCAATGCCTTCCAGCGATCTTGACCAGATCGTCGGTCCACCTTGCTGGAGGCCTTCCCACGCTGTGTCGTCCGGTCCGTGGTCACCACTCGAGGACTTTACTGCCCCAACGGCCATCTGTCCTACGAGCTATGTGCCCTGCCCATTGCCACTTCAAAGTCGCAATTCTTCGGGCTATGTCGGTCACTCTGGTTCTTCTGCGGATCTCCTCATTTTTGATTCGATCACTCAGAGTAACTCCGAGCATAGCCCTCTCCATTGCCCTCTGAGTGACTCTGAGCTTGTTGATGGGGCCCATAGTTAGCGACCACGTCTCTGTTCCGTAAGTCATCACTGGCAACACACATTGGTCGTAAACCTTCGTCTTGAGACACTGCGGAAATTTGGACGAAAAGATATATCGGAGCTTCCCGAACGCTGCCCATACATCATTCATACATCGCTTGTTAAATACTAAAGAAGTGTAACTCAGACATGGAACAAAAGGAAAACCAAGCAAGTACAACATTGTAACGCCTACGCTACTATAATAAACCCAGGACAATTCATACAACGCCTAGTCCCAAACAAAACAGTCCTTGTACTATGGAGAAATTTATTATATCGTTAAATAAAAAACATATATCGTATTATATACGCTAACTGGAGGGGCTCCAGTGGAGGATAATAGAATGAAAATGAAATTAGCTTGATCAGCCATGCATGGCGAAATCAGAAAAACAGAAATTAACTATGATGGTATCGATACAACATGGAGATTTGCCTGACATTGTATATTACTAGCAATGGAGCTCCATAACTAATAATGCGTACTCCATGCACTAACCTACTGATTGAAGCAAATATATTTTTTAAAATACATAAACTACTCATAGAGAACATTCATTGTATAGTGGGAGAATTGAACCTGCCACCAACCGAAGTAGCTATGTACTCGTACTAAACCACTAGACCACCATGATAGAGTAACAAACAATAATGTAAACGATAAATTTCTGTAGTTTCCCGGGATCTCGAAAGACGTTGAAATTATTATGAGCATCCCTATTCTGCTGTACAGCTGTGAGCCGACTGAACTTGCTCAATATGATTTAATTGAATTATTCGAATGAGCCCGTCGCGTCGCTTCCGTTCCGTAGCCAAGCAGGAAATAGCAATTGAAAAATATTAATTTGTATTATATAATTTTATGTCTCACTTCAATATTGTAAACTTTAATAAAAAATATACAAATGTTTGTTTATCGAACATTATACTTATAAACCGCACGAATTTAATACAATTCGTTAAGTAAATATACTGAATAGAATTTCTATACAAGTTTATATAGAAATGTTTAGAAGATTATCTTTAAATATGGTGAAAAAGGGATAATAAATTAATTTATATGATATACAATTATTTAATTGTGTACAAATATATAATGAAATTGTATAAGTTCTTGTTATACATATGTATGTATAACTTAGGTATACCTAATACTCTTGAGAATATAGGTAAGACGTATTTGTAATAACGTATACCTATGATTTATAACAACTTAGACTCCACTTTGTTCCTATCTGATTTGGCCCTCGGGCACTGTTTTACAAACCGAATCTAGAAGATCAAAAGGCGTTGGAAACGTCGAGTCCTTACTTTTAATAATTTTCCGTTAGGCAACACGCCTAACTTTATTGATTTTGTAGCCCAAGAATGCGAGAAGCCTATGTAGTTATATTTTATTATTTAACCATTTTCAATAAAAAATTCTGCGAAGACTTGTAACTTAGTAATTATACAATATATAACATAATTAGAGTATATATAAATCTCTAAGTGAGTTAGTGGTTTGTTATGCCGAAGTATATTTCGATCTAGGTTTTGAGTTCGAATCTGGTGAACACTTAGAACTTGTGTGTTCATTTTTATGTCGAACTGTCTCTTCGGTGATAGAAACAAATTAAAATATATTCGTACCTACTTAATTTGGTGTCAGAGATTACTTTTTTTGCTTAAAAGAATAATACTTGTCACTGACCTATTTTCATATTATTTGTAATTTGTTAATCACATATATATATATATGATTAAGTATAACAATATAAAAAGAGAGATACTAATACAGGTAATTAACAAAACTGAATATCTAAAAGGAGAGACTTTTAGAGACACGTATAAGAAATTCCATTACAGTCTCTATGGTTAGATTACACGCGTATTCTACGCCTGTACATATACTAAACTGAGCTTTAGGTAACGGAAAAAGAAGTCACGTAACCATTAGCGTTGGAAAACTCAATGGCGTGTCTACACTGACCCCCATAATCGAATCAATTGTTCCACATGGCGGATCAAGTAATACAGGCCAGAAGACAGAGACTGTTATCATACGACCCCTGACAAATAATATAATAGCATTATTAAAGAACGTTATAGTTATAATAATAATGCCAATATAAACCTTCAAAAGGTTGATGAAGGTAGGGCAACATAATAAATTATTTCTACGTATAAGTACTAACATAAAGAACATAAAAAAGATATTGGATAAATAGATATAGCACATGGACATAAGTATAAGTAATATATAAAACATTAATGTCAGTCTAGTAGATGCTACAGAGATACACGGTGGAAATAATAAAAATTATAGAAAAATTATGTTTAAGTAATTGTTTAGATTGTAGTAGCTTTACTTAACAAGAAAGTTTTAATATAATTGCCTAGAATTATTGATTGTAATATTAAAAATTTATGTCATATGCCCTAGCGTTATTTTGTTTATTGATTATGTGTATCTTACAACACAAGAATATCTTTGTGATAATATATATGTTGACCAGCGTGGTCATGGCAGATGGAATAGTCTGAAGTACATACTCGCACTGTCGGGTGAATTCGATTTTACGTTTTTTTTTTTTTATTTAATAAATCACGAACTATAGTATAGTATCACGGGGTCCCAAAATCGGGCGAATAAAATCAGTTCACTCATCCTGCAGAGTAGCTCTAGAATTTTGAATTTGAAATTCTAATTTTAATAATTCTTGCTATAATTATAATAATAACAGCATAATTTTGTTTTCTTATGTGGGAACCATAGAAACGTTAAGATTGCTATATATTTAAGATACTCAGATGCATTTTATTGTTGGTCTTGCAACTACCTGGGGTAGATTCATGAGTTCCGTAAGTACAACACTTAAAATACAAAACGTTTTAAAATAGCAACATTTAAGCGCATACATATAATGGTAGTAGGTAGGTAGGTGTATACATATGTACGTTTCAGAGAAATTATTATAAGCACAATGGCTCACAACTTTTGGATATTACTACATAAATAAGTAAACTAAATAAAAAAACATGACATACCCATTTGTACATTTTTCACTTACGTCTACATATATTTAAGAGAATGTCCTATACGATTAGGCGCCAATATCATTCTAAAATTGCATATAAACATAATACCTAATAAACCTAAGAGAAAATATAATAACACCTAATACAATTATTTACGTACATAGAACTAGAAGACATATAGAACTACTATGCATTTAGTATTATACATATAGAGATACAATTAAATACATACAGTGTATAAACACAACAGGTGTCAAATAGGCGAATGATGACCTTGACTGGACTATATAGTTCGCGGGGAGGGGTGTAACCGACACTTAAGTTGGTATGGTTCACACACACTCACTCGCGTATTACACAGTGGGCATTATATTAATTGAATGATAGGATACGACGAAACGATGCTACCTAGTCAAGCCCCCAGAGTAGACTGAGCAGGAATGTCGGTCGCCGGTCGGTGGCTCACAGGGTTGCTAGCTTTGAAATAAAACCACCCCAGTAAGAATCTTCTCTCTACTGTTGGAGTAGATTAAACATATCCTTCAACTCGTCTACTAAAACAATGCCAATTCATTACAGGTAGATGATTTTACTACAATTGTTTAATTATGACCAATTCTTGTAAAATAAAAAATATCAACAACGGCTAAAGAGCCGTTGTTGATATTTTTTATTCGTAAATTATTCTGATATTACTGATATATAACTGATATCTATTAAATTCATGTCAAAAACTTTATAAAATACTAGCTACTCGCCCCAGCTTCGCACGGGTGTACATATATTTTATTACCTTCCTCTAGAATCACTCTATATATTTAAAAAAAAACACACTTAGAAATCCGTTACGTAGTTTTAAAGATTTAAGCATACAGAGGGACAGACTTTTACGGTTTCTTAAGGGTCGGCAACGCGCATGTGACACTTTGCATTTCAGGCGTCAACCATTTACCATCAGATGGGCCGTATGCTTGTTTGCCACCATATAATGATATAAAATAACAGACAGCAATAGCGACTTTATTTTATACAATGTAATGATTAACCATTAATAATTAATAATTCAAATAAACAAAAACATATATTCAGTACAATCACATGTAAATCCATACTTAATAATATTGTTCTAAAAAATAGTAATATTAAACATATTGCATTGAATTATGTAAATTGCGATTACGACAGTTTACAAGAATACGAGATTTATTTTAATTTCAAAATCACCCGTTGCAAATGTAAAATTTCCAGACTGGTATCCCTAGCTGTGGATGATCACTCTTCCCGACCGGTATCGCGCCCGGGGCACCCCATACGATGACCTTTTACCACGTACTACTCCACCGGCGACACTATCGTTGTATTCTATATCTATTAACCGCTTAGTTGCCTAACTTATGATTAATTTCTGTATAGAAACAGCAGTAAATATCGAAGTAATTTAGTGTGACATTAAAGTTTTTTGATATTGTTATGAATCCAGTTTCCGTGAAGCAACACCTCGAAGACGATTAAATAATTGCAGATTCGCGGTTGCTGTGGGGTTCGTTCGTGAATTTTCGACGAAATTGGGGCATTCAGTGGGAACTTTCTTGATTACATAGAACCTAATGAATAAATAATGGCCGCTTTGTGCAAGGGTTGTTATTGTGGCCTGTGGCCGATGCCTTGATTCTGAAATTTGTTTTAAATAAAGTGTTTCGAATATTTAATTTTACGGCAACTATGTGATATCAGATATGCTTATACAAAGATTAGATGATCATTAACGGTAAAGTATAAAGCTTGACTTCGTTTCATTAGTAACATGAATGTAACATAAAAAAAAATATATAATAAGTTATGATAAAAAAATTGTTATTAAAAGCTAGTTTAGTTTAGTAGGTTATGCTTAATACCAAAATATGAACCTTATTATACTATATATAAATACAAACAAAAAAATTTCAAAAAATATATCTGAACTAAAAAATACTTTGTAATAAATAATATGTATTAAACAATATTTTTTAATTCTGCATCGCTTGAAACTTAATAGCTTAGAACTAATTAAGAGGAGGTATAACTTTTGTGAATAAAGATTTCGTGACCTTTAAACTCCATTATGGACCCTGATCATGATCTGTCAGCCAATTATTAATCAAGTTCGAACTCGGTGGGTCTACATTAACTACAACGGATGTCCTGTGCCTTACCTTGTTCCTTTAGACATCACAATATTGCATTATCATCATTTAGGAAATTGGGATAACAAGAACTAGTTGAAAGGTCACTTTAATATTTAATCTTAGCTACGTATAAAATATTATCTAAGTAACAAATAACATAGTGTGGAAATGTGGATTGGAACTGTTTTAGGATTCCATACCAGAGAAACTGTTATTACACCGCTCATCCAGTAATTACACCGCTGATCTTACCCTTCAAACAAAATAAACCTTCCTCCGGCTGCATGGCGGCTGAAATAGGTGTGAACAGAAATAGAAATAGAAATAATCTTTATTCAAATAAACTGAATATAAGCACTTTTGAATAGTCAAGTTTTTTATTCTACCGCTTATTCGGAATGCAGATTCATCACAAGAAGAATAAGCAAGAAACTTGTGTGTTGCTCTTTTAAATAAATATTGATTTACTTATATTTAATTAACAACAAGGATTAGGCATGCGACAATCAACATAGAAACCGCACCGCAACGCACTTAATCTCTGTTCAATCAGATAACATTGTCAGCGCTATGAATTTTAAGTTAGATATTTTCTACAAAAACATTATTATCATTTATAAATTCTTTAATTTTATAATAAGCTTTTTACAAAGAAAATATTTTATGACACATTTGAATTTTTTTCTGGCCAATTGACTACAAACTCTGGGAGTTTGTTGTAAAACCTTACGCAATTTCCATAAAACGAATTACTGACTTTCGTCAAACGGCACTTAGGTAAAACTAGTTTGTTGACATTACGTAAGCTTTTATTAGTGTAAACCTATTTTTTTTAAACTGTTAATGTTTTTCCTGGCATACATAATATTTTCGTAGATGTATTGAGAAGCAACGGTGAGGATATTTGATTCTTTAAAACATTCACGCAAAGACTCCCTGGAACCCATACCGTAAATGGAGCGAAAAAGAGGGCCTCTTTTGCAAAATAAATACTGTATTTATATCAGCTTCTTTGCCCCATAATAAAGTACCGTATGACATGCTATGAAAATAGCTAAAATACATGAGTTTAGCCGTTGCCACGTCTGTTAATTGTCTAATTCTTCTTACTAAATATAGTTCAGTTTAATGCTACCAATTTGAAATTGAAAACAAATATGTCAAGGACTGATTCATTATGTTTTTTAATTCTAAGTTATCTACCTCTAATGAACTAGCTTTATTTCACATATATTAGATAGAGTGGTTATAAAATCTTATATAAATAGATCTATCAAAGCTATTTATTTCAAATTTATGTAAGTACCTGTAACCTACTGTGCTCAGGATGTAAATTAGCACTATCATTATTAAAAGTTTTGAAGATACAAAATAGAATTCGTTTTACAAATAAAAATAAATATTAGATATATTTCATTAAACGTTGACACCCTGGCGCCTAGCGTGGATATGCGTCAGTATGCCGTCCAGATTGCCGTTGACATCGATTTAATTAATTTAGGAAGAATTAATAGGAAAAAACCACAGTATTTTATTCTACTGTTGCTCCATTAATATTACAAGAATTCATGCTTAGTAAATATCTAAATCTGACCACATAAGTACAAACTTGACATTAAACAACACCTACTAACAAATTATTATTTGTTTGTTTTTAAGTTCATTTTTTTGTTTCGACTTTTTTGAGTTCTTTTTATTAATAAGTTCGTTAAAACAGAGAAGCAACATTTGATATTTATTATTATTTGACATTGGACATTGACTTTCTTTTTGTAATTCATATTGTAAAACTTTAAGTTAGACTGAAAAGGACTTTTATCTAGAGCCGTAAAACATATTAATAAGAAATAATGGATAACAATAATTAAAAAAATATTATAATTCATAACGTTTCACATTCAGGTATTTTTCAGACTTTTCAAAGAAATAACGAAAAGGTTAGTCGACATCACAGAAGACCGAAGAGCTGGCAGCTACCTTGGACAAAGAATTATTCTAGCTATTCAAAGAGGGAACGCTGCCAGTATCTTCGGAACGTTGCCTAAAGGGACCTCTTTTAATAGTATACTTTAGTCATCATATTATATATATTTTTTTAAGCTTTTTAATTTTAGGTTTTTAGTTGTACAATTAGGTTATGTAAATAAAAGCAAACTATGTTGTTGGGTATTTTATATAGGTACAAGTAATTTAATAGTCTACTTTTATCAGTTTGACTAGTCAGCTTACCATAGGTTAATTTTACATTTCCTGTCTCTTGCATTGACGTATTACACTCTCTTCTCTTATTCTCCGAAAATAAAAAACAAAATTATGAATCTTTAGTTTACGCTACGCAAATAGGGTCACCTGGAACACAATCTACGTGCACAACGAGCCGCTGACATGCATGTAGGTACGTAAGATACGTAAGATTGTATGTTTTTTATAAAATGGTAGCATACATTGTCACTCCATAAAACTGTCTGATACTATTTATATTAGTTGTTTTTACATTGTCTTTTATTGCATCTAAATTGTATACCATGTATTAAATCAAACCCAACCCCGACAACAGTTTTGCAGGTAGATAAGTAATTTTAAACATTGTAAAATTAAAAAAATAAAACGTTTTTTTATATCTATGAAATAACAGTCATGGAAAGCTTGAATATGTAAATTCTGTGAAGTAGATCACGATAGACAGCTTTGTGTTTTTGACAATGTTCGGTATAACGTTCGGTTTATAACTGTAACTATTAAATATCTGATAGCTAAACTACAAATACAATCTGTTTTAAATTAAAATTAGTATAAAGTACAATAAGGCTGCAGTTTCAGTATTACCGTACAAGCACAACGAGGGTCAGGAGATTAAATGAAAGAAAAAGAAATTACATATTTCTTAGTGCAGGTATAAATATTTTAATATTGAACCGTTAGCTTTTAAAAGGATAAATTTTAATTACGTTTTCGTAAAGGACGAGATTAAAATAATGCCTGCTGGATTTGCGGTTCAATTGGTGATTTCATTCGCTTGCCTCCCTATTAATTATTCTTAATCCAACAGGCAACAAAACTAGCAGCTCAGACTAAATATTTTATTCTAAAATGGAATAAGTAGCTCATGTAGACTGACATTTTATCTAAGTACATGGAAAAATAAATGTTCCTAACATCATCGAATACCGAAAATTAAAATATCATGAGTTCGAGTTGGGTTGGAAGAATAACAAAAACAAGGTTTGTACCTTGTTTTTGTTATCCCATC